ACACGGTCTTTGCACAAAATATCAGAGGCTTAGTTTCCACTCTCCGAGGGAAGGGCTGGGAAAGACCCCTCCAAAACCCTGCTCAGGGTAGACAACTTAGACCTAGGTCAACTAAGGGTCTGTTTAGATATAAGGCAGCTTCCCACCGTTGCGATCTACAGAAGGGAACAATATCAATGACAGTCACCATCCCCGGAACCCAATCCCTGTGAGCAGGAAAGACGGAGAGAACTGGACCTGTTCAGTCTTGAGAAAAGAAAGTGGAGAGGGAGATAGGATGACACTTATCAAATACTTGAAAGGCAGGCCTACAAAGGAGGGCCAGGATCTATTCTCCATTCTCCCAGAGTGCAGGACACATCATGATGGGCTCAAGCGACAGGAAGCCAGATTAGGCTGAAGATCAGGAAAAAACTTCTTAACTGTTAGAGCAGTACGACAAGGGAACGGAGGACCTCAGGGATAGGTGGTGAGCGCTCCCACGCCGGAGGCCTTCAAGAGAAATTTAGGCCACCCCCTGTGAGATCTGCTTGGATTTGGGATTCCTGCCTTGAGCAGGGGGTTGAATGGGATGGCCCTTACAGGGCCCCCTTCCAACTCCATGACTCTATGGGTTCTATGACTCTATGACCCCTGCAGAGCTGGGTCGGGGGCAGTAAAACATTTTGCATGTCCAGAAAGCCATAGAAGAAGACACAGAGCATTGCCCACTGTCCCCTGAGCCCCTGCCCCACGAGGAAACAGTGGGGGGAGTTCCTGGGACAGGAGACGAGGCCAAGAAGTCACCGTCGTGACCTCTGAAAGCAACATCAGTGATTGTCCAAAAAGGCTTCACCCCACGCATGGAGACTGTTCAAGGCAGAAGAGAACCAGGGTGGGGTCAAGGGGCTCAACCGTTTCCCACCCGGCTGCTCCTCAGAGCTGCCTTCCTCTCCCTAGACATCGTTGGGGTTGTAACAGAGCAAATTGAACTCCAGGTTCTCGTCCCAGTGCCTGAGCAGGACGAAGAGCTGCTGGGCTGCCCCCTTGACCGTCGACAGACCCCGGCCAGCGGGGATCTCCTGCCGGCTGAGCCACTGGCTCGCTTTGGCCGCCACCAGCTCCCACTCGGTGAAGAACGAGGCCGACTGGTGCTCTAGCCAAGCCAGGGCCACCGCCGTGGCCCAGATCATCCCCTCGGGCTCCGTCCGTTGCTGGAATTCGACGCCGAAGAGCCAAGCCTGGAGTTCAGAGCCGTCGGACTCCGAACCTCTTCCGCTGTCCGCCGGCGACTCTTGAGGGAGCGTAGCGTTTTCTGGCGAAGAGGAGCCCTGGATGGTGATGGCCGGAGGAGAGAGCGTGCTCTCCGCCTTCAGGGTGCTGGACGGGCTCCTCGCCATGTTGTCGGAGAAGCCCTGGGCTCGGCCTTCATTGCTGTCTGCTCGACTTACCGAAGAGATGACACATCCACCAGGAGCGTCGGCGGGCGGCTGAGGAGCCCCTAGGGTCTGGCTTTCTCCTGCTTCTCGAGGGCTGCAGGAATTGGCCGAGGGACTGAGCGCCATCCGATGGCAAGCGAAAGGCGACGTCCGCTTGATCTTCTCCATGGGGACATTGATGGCCTCGCAGAAGGCCTTGTTCAAGAGGAAGGAGCCACAGGCCAGCTGGAGGGACACCTGAGGGGCGGACGGGAGGAAAAGAGATTCCCTTAAAATGGGAAGAATGAGCAATTCCTAAAGAGTCATAATACATTTCATGGACTCTATTTAATTTCCTCTTTGGAGCAACACATTCTTCAAGAGGAATCTGGCATTCTAAAGAGGAAACTCCATTTAATAACTACATTTCCATCGTGCTCAAATGCCTTTCTGACTTAGCTAGTTGGATCACTCAGTAAGCCACGTGCAGGCAGAAGTTGGGAGTTCGATTCTGCGTTGTGTCTTGCAGGGGAAGAGACAGCCTGGGTGGCCTTGGGCAGGCTGCCGGGTGGTTCCAGAGCACCCCCAGAAGAAGGGGAGGGTCAACCACATCTGAGTATCCCTTTTATCAGTGTATTCTAATGGTCTTGTGCTGCTGTTACCCGTGTGTCATCAAGTCACTTCTGAGCTGTAGCAATCCTGATAGGATTTTGGAGGTCTGTGAGATGCTCAAGAAGGGGACTGACTACCATGGCCATGAGTGGAGATTTGAATCCAGATCTCCCAAGTCCTAATCTGATACTCCATCAAGTGCTCTTGACAGACTGATAGAATTCCACATGGAAGCAGCCTTAAATAATCAATGTGCACGATCATATCAAGACTAAGGATGTGACTACGTGATCAAATACCCCAGGATTTGCAGTGGTGGCGGTGATGATGATGACCCTTTTCAGGGTTTTTAAGGCAGAGACTATTCAGAAGTGGTTTTCCCTTCCCTTCTTCTTGGGGAACCCTGGCACTGTGTACATGCTTTTTCAAAACTAAGCAAGTTGCCAATGAACCGTAACAGACTTGGCAGAGGCAGGATCAGAGGAAGAGAGGAAGAAGGGAGCTCTGGACTGAAATTCGAATTTCGTCCCCTTAAGTGTGAACATGGAACTCCCACATTTGAGGGAGCCCTGGCTGCAAATTCAACCATAATACAGGCTGAGAATCTAATCAAGCCGCTTCGATTCGGCTTCCCCATGCAGTCGCAGCCTGTGTTTTCTGTTGTGTTTTATTTACTTTAATTCATATCAATTTATTTAAAGTTTTTTCACCCCATCTTTCTCCTTAAAAGGACCCGGTTTTCTGAGCACAGCATGGCACCAGATGCAGGAGAGAGAGAGAAAAACACAGCATTTCCAGCTGTTTCTGAGCGCTGGAACAAAATCTGGAGATTAAAATGGATGAAAGGACACCTCCGAGCCCAGAAATACTGTGGTCCTCATGCCAATCCCCACAGCCAGGTCTCCCCCACCGAGAACCCCCCCCCCAAATGCAGGCAGCTGCCTTTGTTCCAACGAACGATGCAGTCCCCAAACAGATTAGCAAAGTTTCTGTAGCGATCGGCTAGAGATCAAGCTGTTCTGAAGGACATCAGAGCAGCTCAAAACAATGCATGGTGGCTGAGGAGAAAAAAGCCAGCCCTCCCCGAGCAGCTCTGAGGATCGCAGCTAAGCTTGGTCAGGATGAAGAAATGAAGCAGTCGGGGTGGGAGAATCACCATGATCTGTTTGTTTGGGTACTGCGCTCCACGTTTCAGCCTCCCAGATCCCCAAGCAGAACTGCAGAGTTAAACAAACTCTGCAGGATCTAATAAAATTGAGCAATAAGAGCACAAGCGGTGATGAAACCATAAGACCATAAAATATTTCATTAAAATCATTAAATTGCTAAGGGTAATTGCCAACGTGGGTGCAAATCCCTGGACAGAAACTTAAGCCTTCCATTGGGTTGAGTCCCCTGATTCCATGGAGACGTTGTCTGCACTCCAAAAAAGCCAGCTTTGTGGGTAGACACCCACTACCGTCACCCCAGGCTGGTCAGACCGACTGGACCATGACGCAGACCAGCTTGCCCCCTCCGTGGTTTATGCCTTTATCGCTGGGGGCTGGGGGCTCCAGGGATGGAAGGTTGAGCGAATATGTAGTGATGGTCACAAGCTAAACCTGGCTGCTTGGAGAGTACACAACTCCGGGCCACGAGAACCTTACCAGGGGCAGGTAGTCGGCTTTTTTGCTGTCGCTCTCTGGCTGCACCTCGCTGGTCCTGGTGGGAGATTTGCTCATGAAGCCTCGGGCGGCTCGAGTCAGCAGCCGCGTTTTGTTAAAGGTCAGCCTGGACCAACAAAGACATAAGAACCGTAAGAACAAGGGAGCTTGGCCAGCGAGCCTAACATTTGTTGAAGGGCCTTTCTGTTTTAGCTGCCTTCCAACTTCGAATTGTCGAATAAGGGAGTTGGGATGGGCTCTAAAAGGCCATCGAGTCTGACCCCCCGCTCAAGGCAGGGATCCAAATCCAAGCAGACCTGACAGAGGGTGTTCCAGCTTTCCCTCAAAGGCCTCCACCGTTGGAGCGCTCATCACCTCCCAAGGACATGGGGTCCATTGTCGTACTACTCTAACAGCTAGGAAGTTTTTCCTGATATTCAGCCAAAATCTGACTTCCTGTCACTTGAGCTCATTATGACGGGTCTTGCACTCTGGGACGATCGAGAACAGATCCTGCCCCTCCTCTGTAGGACTACCTTTCAAGTATCTCAAAAGCGCTCTCCTATCTCCCCTCGGTTTTCTTTTTCCAAGGCCCAGTTCTTTCAGCTTCCCGCTCAGAAAACCTCCCAGCTGTCACTGGGGCAGGAACAGGAAGCTTGAGTCAAACTAGGCCTAGCTAAGCCTCAAAGCTTTCAAATTTAGGCCTTTCTCCCAGGTGAGCCACATTCACGCGTTTGCCAGGTGCCTGCAAGGCAGATAAAACTCCAAAAATGGAGAATTATGGTGTTTTTAGGCCACAAAATCCAAGTATCCCATCTCTAGTTTAAACCTTAAAGGAGCTCTCCAAGGTACCAAACTCATTTGCAGGATAGAAGTCCAGTTCTTTTGAAGTTCAAACCAAAACCCAGGACAGTTAATCTCTCCCTGTAAAATTGGGACTCACCAGTGACATGTTTTAAAGCAGAAGGTTGATAAACTGAAGGGTGGCAGGGCTGGAAAGCAAATATTATGAAGATCACTGGAAACAGGGATATTTACTGCCTTCGAGGATCAGAGAGGCTGTTACACATAGGAAGTGGAGGACCTCGGCTCATTTTCTCTTCCTGAGACCTGAAAAGTAGCCCTACAGAGGAGGGGCAGGATCTGTTCTGGATCATTCCAGACACATAGGCTCAAGTGACAGGAAAGCAGGGTTAGGCTGAATATCAGGAAAAAAATTCTTAACTGTTAGAGTAGTACGACAAGATAAAGATAAAGAAAGCAGACCGCCAAAGAATTGATGCCTTTGAATTGCGGTGCTGGAGGAAGCTCTTGAGAATCCCCTGGACTGCAAGGAGAACCAACCTATCAATTCTAAAGGAAATCAACCCCGAGTGCTCACTGGAAGGACAGATCCTGAAGCTGAAGCTCCAGTACTTTTGCCATCTCATGAGAAGAGAAGACTCCTTGGAAAAGTCCTTGATGTTAGGAAAGTGTGACGGCAAGAGGAGAAGGGGATGACAGAGGACGAGATGGTTGGACAGTGTCTGCAAAGCAACCAACATGAATTTGACCCAACTCCGGGAGGCAGTGGAAGACAGGAGGGCCTGGCGTGCTCTGGTCCATGGAGTCACGAAGAGTTGGACACGACTAAATGAATGAACGAGTACAACAAGGGAACCCATAATCTGAGGAGGTGGTGAGCTCTCTAACACTGGAGGCCTTCAAGAGAAAGTTGGACCACCCTCTATATAGCGTCTAGATCAAGGGAAGTGACAGCACCACTGTATTCTGCTCGGGTCAGACCTCACCTGGCGGATTTTGTCCAGTTCTGGGCACGTCAATTCAAGAAGGATGCTGACAACCTGGAACGTGTCCAGAGGAGGGCGACCAAAATGGTCAGAGGTCTGGAAGCCATGTCCTATGAGGAGCGGCTTAAGGAGCCGGGAATGTTTAGCCTTACAAAAAAGAACGTTAAGAGGGGACATGATAGCCATGTTTAAATATTTGAAGGGATGTCATGTCGAGGAAGGGACAGAGTTGTTTTCCATGGTTGCAGAGACTAGGACACAAAGCAATGATTTCAAACTACAGGAAAAGAGATTCCACCTGAATCTCAGGAAGAACTTCCTGACAGTCAGAGGTGGTCAGCAGTGGAAGAGGCTGCCTCGGAGTGTGGTGAAGTCTCCTTCTTTGGAGATTTTTAAGCAGAGGCTGGATGGCCATCTGTTGGGAGTGCTTTGATGGAGTTCCTGCATGGCGGGGGGTTTGGACTGGATGGTCCCCGTGGTCTCTTCCAACTCTGTGATTCTGTGATTCTATGATCCTGATTTGTATTCCTGCCCTGAGCAGGAAGGTTGGACTGGATGGCCTCAGAGAGGCCCCTTCCAACTAGGATTTGATGTGACAGTCCCACCCCCTGCCTTGGGAGGTCGGCTCTCCTCTGCTGGAGTGATTTAAGCAGAAGCTGGGGGGCCGCATCTGCTCTCAGCCCTGCTGCGGGCTGATCCTGCACTGCAGTCCCCATTTGCTGCATGCAAGCATTTCTGCACCGCCTGGGGCTGCCACCAGATTTCGCCAAGAGCTAATTAGGACGTTCTGTCCATGAGCCAAGCTTTTAAGGGAGAACAAAAGGATTTCAATTAGACTAACGACCTTTCTCAAAGGAGTTCTCTACATCGGCATTAAAAGAAAACCCATCACAGGCGACCCAAGCTTATTGACTTTGCTGGGAGGGGCCAGAACCTCCGGATTTCAGAATATTTCGGCTTTTTGCATCATTAAAAAATGTTGACTGCGGATTGTCTTTCTGAAAGACAGACCTTCCAGCTCTCCTCGTCCGCCAGGACGTCTTGTGAAACATCAGGCAAAGCCTGATTTTGCACAGACACACTGATTTTGCAGGAAATGAGGTGTATTTTGCAGGAAATATTGGGTTTGTGCAACATATATCAGGCAAAATACAGGGTTTGCGGCACCAAATGCAACATTTTTGTGCAAAATATGACAATTTGCTAAAGACGAGGATGATGATTTTAAAAAGCACTGGTTTCTTTGTTCTGGAACAAGGGCATAAAGTCTCAAAAATTTTTGATGGTGTGTCTTGGTGTTTTGAAACACCATTTTTCATCAAGGTTGAGAAAAATTTTTGAATATTCATAACACTCTAATTACGTTAATAAACTAGAACGGCAGAGCTGGAAGGGACCCTATGGGTCATCCAGTCCAGCCCCTCTCAAGGAGGCTCCAGCGGGGAATCAAACTCCCAACCTCCTGTTCTGCAGCCAGAGATCTCGACCCCTGAGCTATCCAGGATACCTTCCTTGCCTCTGCTGGATTGTCCCACAGAAAGGTAGTCATTTACAGGCACTATGTTGAATAATATTTGTACCCAAATCCTGTTAAATTGTTACATCTTTTGCATCTCTCACTTTCCCAGTTGATTAAGATATTTATGCATAAATAGAAGCTGTTTCATACCAGGATGGCTGCCGAATCCTCTCCATATGCTGCAGTGCTGGCTGAAGATCTCTTAAGAATAAGAATACCTGGCTGTTGACGCAGAAGTCTGGGAGTTAAATTCCTGACTGTATCTTGTACAAGAAGAACGAGCCTGTGTGGTCCTGAGCAACTCAGAGGACCCCCAGAAGAGTCCTACAGAGGAGGGGCAGGATCTGTTCTCGATCATCCCAGAGTGCCAGACCCGTCATAATGAGCTCAAGCGACAGGAAGCCAGATTTTGGCTGAATATCAGGAAAAAACTTCCTAACTGTTAGAGTAGTACGACTATGGAACACATAACATCAGGAGGTGGTGAAGCGCTCCGATGCTAGAGGCCTTCAAGAGAAAACCGGGCCACCCTCTGTCAGATCTGCTTTGATTGGGATCCCTGCCTTGAGCGGGGAGTGGACGCGATGGCTTTTTAGAGCCCCTCCCAACTCCATTATTCGACAATTCTCTAGTTGCAAGCTGGAAGCCAGCTCAAACATGAAAAACAGTCTTACCTTGCAGCAAAAAAGTTCTCAATGGATTTCTGAGAGGAAACCGATGGACTTCGTAGTGGCACTGGGGAAGAGAGGAAAAAAAGGAAATCTGGAATCAGAGGCCACAGGATGCTGAGGTGGACTGCCTGTCTCCCGAGGCTTCAGCTCCCTATTCGAATTCTGCCCCAAGTGTTAACCCCCGGCTCTGTCTCTCAGTCTCAGTCCCAGCTCCTTCCTCAGCGGGATTTTGCTGCAGATTCACCCGGCAAGGTTCTTGTCAAGACTGCTGCTAGCCGTTGCATGAGAAGTGCTTTGACCATGTTGGGACTATATGGAGAATTGCCACCATCACGATCTCTTCCCCCAACTACAGTGGTGCCTCGCTTAACGACAATAATCCGTTCCAGGAAAATCGCTGTTAAGCGAAAACCTCATAAAGGGAAATTTAAAAACCCATTGAAACGCAATGAAAACTGTTCAGTGCGTTCCAATGGGCTAAAAACTCACCGTCCAGCGAAGATCCTCCATACAGCGGCCATTTTTGGTGCCTGTATAGCGAGGAATCCGTCCCTAAGCACAGCGGGGAGCCATTTTAAGCACCCGGCGGCCATTCTGAAAACCCGACAATCAGCTGTTTTTGTCGTAAAGCAAAAATCGGTTCCCGAAGCAGGGAACCGGTCATCGCTAAGCGAAATTCCCCCATTTAGACCATCGTTTTGCGACCGCAATTGCGACCGCAAAAACATCGTTGTAAAGCGGATTCGTCGTAATGTGGGGTAATCGTTAAGCGGGGCACGACTGTATTATCGTTCTGCATGAATGAAGAACAGGGGTTCAGGGGACCTCTTCCTGTACCTGCAACTCTCTTTGATCCTAGGGTGGGCTGACAACCCTGCGGGACTTCTTTTTAACGGCCACCCTGCACCTCCCCAAACATAACTGCTGGATACCTCAGGGGTTGAGGTCTCTGGCTGTGGAGCCAGAGTTTGTGAGCTCAGTTCCCCCACGGCGCATCTCCAGAGAGAAGAGCCAGCCTGGGTGGCCTTGGGACAGCGGCACAGCCATCCCAGGGCGCCCCCTAGAGGAAGGGAAGGGTGATCAAGCACTTCTGAGTGTTCTCTCTATGTGGAACACCCTGGGAAGGATTGCCATCGGTCAGAATAGACTTGATGGCACCCGATGGTTATCAAAACTCTCCTTACCGTCTGGAAAGGTGTAGCGATCCCAACCAGAGGAGGAAGGAGTGCTGCATGGGGAGAGGCTGCTTTCTTCGGCATCTGCAGTGACGGGAGAGGGAGATGGAGGGAGGAGAAGAAGAGAGACCGGCCTCGGTTATCATCTGTCACGGTAGGGCAGAGAACTGGTTTCTCACTGCCCATTGCCACTCTTCACGCGGTCCGCCATGCCATCTGAGGCCTGCCTGATGGCCTGGCGTCTGTGTGTGTATCACGGGGAGCGCCAGAGGCTTCAGGAAGACCTTCTAATTCTAGACTCCGCACTTGAAGAAGGATTGCCAACAAACTGGAGCCAATCCAGAGGAGGGCAAGGAGGAGGATCAGGGGGCTGGACACCAAGCCCTTGGAGGAGGAAAGACAGAAAGAACTGGGAACATTTAAATCTTGAGAAAAGAGGGCTGAGGGGAGAGAGGAGACCACTTTTCAAAGTCTTGAAAGGCTGTCCTACAGAGGAGGGGCAGGATCTGTTCTCGATCCTCCCAGAGTGCAGGACACACAACCATGGGCTCAAATTAACAGGAAGCCAGATTTTTGGTTGAATCTCAGAGGGGGGGAAAATGTCTTAACTGTTAGAGCAGTACAACAATAGAACCCATGGCCTTAGGGGGAGGTGGGGAGCCCTTTGACACTGGAGGCATGTAAGAGAAAATGAGGGAGCCATCAAGTCAGGTCTGCTTTGATTGGGATCCCTGCCCTGAGTTTGGTCTTAGAGGCAACTTCCGACTCGGCTATTCTACGATTCTGTGCCCCTTCCTGGAAAGATGAGGTGATTATGAACTCCAGAGTCCAGGGGAAAGAGTTGGACATTTAAGAGACGTTTCAGACATGTTCCTGCCCACAGCCTGGCAAAGCGTAAAGCGGCGCCTCTTACTCGTATTGTGCGACGCGTCGTCGGCTCCGTCTTGGCTGCTGGTGGACCGGCTGCTTCCCAGCCCGGAGGAGAGGCCTCGGTGCCTCCTGCTTTCAGAACTGGAGCTCCGTTGGCTGCCCAGCTTCAGTGCCGGCCCTTAGCATGGAGGAAAGGAAACAGGGGATGATATGGGGGTTACTGTGGACCAGTCAGGGGACAAGACGGCTTGGAAATGGCTGGGAGGTGGTGTCCAAACCGGGATTTCCCTGGGTGGCTAACTTCCAGAGCAGAGAGGTAGCCATAGCCCTCTTGTGTAGCAAAAAAACAAAACAAAACAAAAAAAAAAACAGTTGTATCCCTAACACACCAAAAAGAGGACCTGAGGTTGAACCTGGTCCTCCTGGCAGTCCTGCCTTCTGCAGGATCTCCAGGTGCCCACAGCCCGTTCCTGGCAACACCATCCTTCGACATTTCCCTAGCTTTTGTACAGGGTTTCTGCCCATTCTAAAAGTCTCAAAAAGCTAAAATAAGTTCCTATTTATCCTCCCTGCCCTTTCACCCCTCTTGTCACTGAAGAGCAAACCGACTTGAAATTTCTGCTTGACATTGTCTCCAAAATCGAAGGCCACCTTTGGGCTGAGAGAACTTTGGAGCATCATGACAGAAGCTTCTACAAACCAAAATGATGCAGTTGGGCTGCCTCATATTGCATCTGATGAAGTGCTGGGATAATAAGAATCTTGCATGCTACCTAACCCTGGGTAACAGTGGGAGGGGCTCTTCACTACCTGAAGTGTGTATCTTCTGCCTTTAACTTATAGGTAAAGTTCTTTTTCCTGCTTCTGGCTTTCCCATTCCCATATCCTGTTGGTTTGCTTCACTTCCTTCCTTTGTTAGTCTCTCTCTCCTTTCCTGGCCTTTGAGAATGCAGGAAGCATGGAGGGCTCTCTCTGATTTTTTTCCTGTTTCTACTGACTGTAACTACAGACAGCAACCGTAAGTAAAGGTACCTTTTCCCCCTCACTTAAATGCTTCCAGAGAGATTTTTAACGTATAAAGTGCTACTCACCATGAACAGGGGTGGGCGACTAAAATTTAAAGGTATTCTCCTCTGCCTTTTCTGTGCAGTTGTTGTTTGCACCTGATACTCTGCTAACTATAAAAACTATAGGATACTGCTAGGCCAGTATCCTATGGGGAAATACTGTATGCACAATTAAGATTGTGCAAGCAGCTATATTGATATGGCAGAGTGCTCCTTGAAAACCTGTCTGTGGGTCTGGTTGAAACAACCAGTTCGTCAACCATTTATTTAAGCAGTTGTACAGGAACCGTCTCATTAGTTAGCACAACCTCTTGTGCAACTTTTTATGCACACTCGGAAGCCTTCAACAGATACTAGTGTAGGCTTTCAGGAATTGTGAGATTCTTATCGTTGGCCGGTCACCACTATGGTCCGCCTTATCAAATGCCAACCGAACACATTTACCTGCGGCGGGATATTCAACTGCCGTCGGCAAGTAGCGGTTGTTGCTCAGATCTACCGGCAGGAAGGCTGTGTATTTGCTGATCACATTGCAGGCTTTGCTCGTGTGCACGGCGTTCACGTGGTACCGCCGGCCAGACCCTGTTGGAGAAAACCAGAAGTGGGAGATGGCTGGAATGGGCAGACCCTCCCTTTTAAGGCTCCCCCTAAAACGTCTGCGGCTGGGGTGTGTTCCTGAAGGGCCTTTGGTTCAAGCTGGTGTGCCCGTTGCACCCGTTCCTGGAGAGGTCTAATCTGGCCTTGGAGACACATGCCTTGTTTAGATCCCATCTGGACTACTGCAACACGCTCTACGTGGGGCTGCCTTTGAAGACTGTTTGGTACCTTCAGCTGGTTCTAAATGCTGCAGCTGGCCTGCTGAGGGGTGCTGGTGATGGGGAGCCTTATCTCTCCCCATTTTCCCAGCAGCTCCACCAGCTGCTCAACTGCTCCTGGACCCAATCCAGAGGACTGACTCTATAAAGCCCCACCCGGATCGGGTCCAGGTGGCCTGAAGGGGTCGTCTCACCCCATGGGAACCTTCTCGGCTTTTAACATCTTCTGGGGAGGCCCTTCTCTCTGTTGCACCACCTTCCCAAGCTCACAAGAGAGGGCCTCCTTGGGGGGGGGGTCTCCCAGGCTTCGGAACGCACTCCCGCAAGAAGCCAGGTGCCCCCCCCCCCGGCCGTCCCTCTTGTCCTTCCACCCTCAGGCAAAGACCTTCCTCTTCAGCCGAGCCTTGAAGCAGCAAGCGATCTCAGGAAGGCCGGTTCTCGACTTACAGGTTGTTCAGTGTTTTTCAGTGGTTTTTATATTTGGCTGTTTTAAACCTAAATGTATGTCTAATTGTTTTTTTATATGTGATGTTTATATAGTATTTTTAGATCTCTTATCTGTTGTGAGTCACCTGGGCAGCCTATAAATGACTTAAATGTAAAGAAAAAAGTAAATAAGTCTGCAGATATCAGACATACACATACACACACACCGCCCCGAGCCCTCTTTGCCCAGAGAGACTCCTGAAATAATCAAAAGGAATCTTTGCTATGAGATAATTAAATCATTCTTATTTAAGAAAAGCTATGTAGGGCTGCATCTCCTGTTTCAAAGGAGCAGGAGATATTCTAGAGATTCTCCCATGAAAGCAGGCCCAGGGTCTCAGTGGACCTGGCCTTTAGCAAAATTGATGGCTGCACAGTCTGTCTGCCACCGCATTTTGGCAGCACAACATGGAATTTGTGACAGGTCACCCCCCACGGCTGCTTTTTCTAGACCTTCTAACATACATGCCCCTGGGCCGGTTTCCCCCTGGGGGGGCACAGAGCCCTCCCCAAAACACGGAGGAAACAAAACTGAAAGTACTGTAGTACAGTAGGATCCCCCAGCACCCATGGGGGATTGGTTCCAAGCCCCCTGTGGATAATGAAAACTGTGGATAATAGTGAATGCTATACATAGCAGGGTAAAAGAAAGGGGAAAATCCAGAAAAAAAGTGTTTTCACATTTATTACCAGAACTGGCCACTGGAGGGAGACAGAGACCATGCTATGTAATGGTTTCTGTCTCCCTCTAATGGCCAGTTCTGGTAAATACATTGTAAAAATACATATTTCCAGGGTTTTTTTCCCTTTAATATTTTTAATGTTTTCAGACCACGGATAAGTGAAACTGTGGATACTAATCCTGCAATTACGGGGAGCCTACTGTGTTCCAGAAACCAGGCGTGGCATCTCCCTCCCGCCATTTGGAGGCTGGTAGGGTTCATGGCATATCTTTGAGGAGATGGAAAAACGCCCCTCTTGGGAGCCACGGCACGTGGACGAAAAGAGAGGGCTTACCGTGCTCAATCTCACACTCCTTCTCGGCCAGCTGCTCAAAGTCCCGGATCACCGACTTGGCAGCCAGGTGGTGGAACGTCTCGTTCCAGAGGTCCTCCTCGTCGGCATCTTTGTCTTCCCCACTCTGGAATAGCGGCCCGAGATCGAAAACTACCTCCCACTGGACCGGCTCGTTGTTCTGCAGTCCTTTCACCACGGCTTTGCACAGGGACCTCGGGGAGTGCCAAAAGCCTCTGCCAGATGAACCAGTATCCGGGTCCGGAAGCTCCCACTCCGAGGATGTCTCTGTTTCAAAGTTGAAGGAAGGGTGCTGGGCAAAATCTCAAGGGGAAGGGAGGGAGAACGAGACGTTACACAAGCCGGAATATCAAGCCAGTGAGAACTACAACAAAATGTTGAAGCACAGAGGGCTCCTGCTCAGGGTCTCCTTCAGCCAGCCATCCCCTCTGCCCTAATACTCCATCCTTCCCTGGTTCCCCTCTGAACGGCTCTTCTCTCTGAAGGCACGTGGGGGAATCGAACTCAGGACCCCTGGTGCCGCAGCCATGTTATCTCAACCGTTGAGCTGTACTTGAGCGTTGAGGGCAGAGCGGCCCAGAGGTATAACAGTTTCAGTGACAGAAATCCAAGAAATATTTGAAGAGACAAAGTCTGAAGTGGAGGGGGGCTTGGTTTTGTCATCCAAGCCTTGGGAAGCCGGGCGTTCCACGTGCCAGCCAGAGGACCGCTTCGGGGGGGGGGGTCCCCAGGTGGGGAGGAGACCGGAGCAAGGATGCCGGGGTTCTGTGTGCGAATTAAGGCACCAAGGAATCAGGAGGTTAAATGGAAACAATTCAGCTTTATTGGAAGAACACCACGGTGGATTTCAAGGTTGTGAAGGTCACCAGGCGTGCTTCCGCTCGGCCGGAGAGGCAGCCGTGAAGGGCAGGCCGGCGGGAGGCAGTGAAATCCTTGGAAATGTCAGGATGAGAAGGGCCAGGAAAGCTGGAGGAGAACGAGGGTCAGGTTCAGAGCCCTGGAGGCTCACTGTGGCATTCCGGGAGCTGTTACCTCGAAAACCTAGTTAATCCCAAATACTTGTCATCAAGTATTTCGCAATTTAAGGTGACCCTTTTCAGGGTTTTCCAGAGAAAGACGACTCAGAAGTGGTTTCCCCTTTCCTTCTTCTGGGGGGGCATTTCTGGGACTGGGCAGCTGGCCCAAGGCCACCCAGGCTGGCTCTTCTAGGAGGCACAGCGGGGGAATCGAACCTGCAACCTCTGGCTCGGCGCTATTCAGGCAGTAAAAAAATATAATTTGCTCAAGACTCTGCTCACAGCCTGAGTTTGATCCCAGCGGTCTCAGGTAGTCGGCACAAGGTTGACTCAACTTTCCTTTGCATAATTAAATTGTAAACTACCCAGAGAGTACTTTAAGCGTTTTGGGGTGGCATATAAGCAGAGCACCTTCCCGTTGTTTTTTTTAAAGGGAGAAAGGCGGGGTAGAAATATTTTAAAGAAAGCATATAATTAAATAAACAAACAGGGAGCCATGTAGCCTCCCCCTGGCAGACATATCCAGAGAGGAGGGACTGGCAAGGACGAGAGCAGAGAGCCCCCCCGTTTGTCCTAGCCATCCTGGGTCCTCTGCCACAGGCGTCCACACAATGCATGCTTGCACCCGAACTCTTATTTCCACCCACCCCCCGACGGTTCAGGGACGGTTCCGGTGACCAGACGCCTCACCTGCATCTCCGGGACTCCTGCCCTCTGCGAAAACTGAGCCTCCGAGGGAGTCGGACGGGCCAGCGTTCGTTCCGCCTCGCGCGAGGCCGGCGTGGAGCTGCGGCGAATCCGGAGAGTCCTGGAGGAAGGAGAGGTGGCTCTGCTGGAGCAGCGAGGGCCGTCTGGCGCCGACGCCTCGGATCCTTGTGGCGGAGACGTGGGTACTGGCAGCGAAAGGCTGAGAAGACTGAAATGTGAAGGGACGACAGACGGAAAGAGAGAGAGAGATGTTTGAGGTGCAGGAAAAGAGGGCTCGTGGCGGGAGAAGGTGTGGTTTGGTTTAGGAAGTCTATTTCTCTCCCAGCTTTCCTCACAAGAGCAGTGGACTGTATCCATGGCGCTCTTCCTCCACACAGCCTTGTGAGGGAGGCCGGATGGACTGAAAAGGCCTGGCCCAGGGTCACCCACAGAGGTGCACAGCAAAGAGGGGATAAAAGTGAGTCTCCTGAGCCCCTGGAGGCCCTGCTAGAAATCACAGCAGCAAGCTTACTTTTTCTGGGCTCTGAAAAGATCCCCTTTGCTCTCAAGCCTTAGTGGATAGAGTCCAGAAGTTGGATTGTAGGTTTATCACAGGGTGCCAGGGTGGGCAAAAGCTTGCTCATGAAACCACAGAGTAAGATAGCTTCCAGTCTTCCCAGAACAGACCACCCCTTGGCACTTACAGTCTCAACCACTGCCTCTGGGATATTGGTAAGAGAAAGAATAAAACGTCCTATTTACTCGCAGTCGAACAGATAAAGACAGCACACTGGCAAAAAATGACTGCTTACATCAACAGGCCTCAGTGGACTCACGGCCTGCTTCCGGCAGACTCCTGCAGACTCCATTCACTTAACTGCAGAACTGCTAATCTCTAACTGCCAGCAGACTGAAAAGAGAGGGCAAAAGACACTTAAGCAGAGAGGCAGGACTCTCTTTGGGATCAGACGCAGGGAGGGAACTACTGCATATGGCATGAAGAATCTGCTAATCTTTCAGCTGTGGATGTTTTATGTGCGCAAAGGAGCAACAGAGCAGGAGCACTGTTTAACCAAAATAATCTGCCAGGGCACTACTCCCCTTATTGCAAACTTTATTGCATCCCTGAGGGAGAAAAAAAAAGCAAATGAAGGGATTTCTCATTTGGACTTCTGTTTTTATTGCAGAGAGGAAGACGAGGGGTTTGGTTGCTTGGAAACCAACCCCGAAGCAGCAAAAACGAGCCAGCAGCCCCTGCCCTTTTGAAGACCGTTTCTTGCAAGTGCCAAAATTGGGAAAAGGGGCATTCCTGTGGCATTAACAGAAGTATAGCCTCCAGATCCTGGGAGGTACTCGTTCCCCTGTGTTCGGCATTGGACAGGCCTCCTCTTGAATACGGTCCAGAAAGATGCTGAGGCCTGTTTAGCCTTGAGCAAAGAAGACAGAGGGGAGAGAGGAGAGCCCTTTTGAAATACTAGAAAAGCAGTCCTACAGAAGAGGGGCAGGATCTGTTCTCCATCATCCCAGGGTAGCGGGACAGACAATAATGGCCTCTAGCGACAAGCAGCCAGATTTCGGCTGAGTCTCAGGAAAAACTTCCTAACTGTTAGAGTAGTACAACAATGGAGCCCATGATCTCAGGGGGCAGGCGGCGAGCGCTCCAATGCTGGAGGCACTGAAGAGAAAACTGGACCACCCTCGGTCAGATCGGCTTGGATTTGAATCCCTGCCTTTGAGCAGGGGGTTGGAATGGATGACCTTATGGGGACCCTTCCCACTCCCTGATTCCCTGATTCTAGGATTCCTTTTCGGCCATGGCTTTTAGACTGACTGCAAATGAGAGCAGAAAGTTTTTAACCACTAATATGGCTAAGCTTTTCTTAGACTCCCGCCTCCCCCAAAGAGCAGGGTAATAGAGGTAATAACCATCAGGCACGCTTTAATTTTGTGATAGCCGTAAATAAACCGAGAGCATGGGGAATATCTAGATAACACGATGCTAACCCAGCGTCAACACAATGAGGGAACATTCGATGCTGTCTGCCTGGAAGCATGCTCCATTTCCCCCCCCCCCATCATCATCATCATAATCATCACCTGTTCTTTTAAATCTCTCCTCTTCAATTTCCACCTGGCCTGACCTCTTTCTGATCCACTGCTGCAGGGAAGGGAGAAGCCAATATTTCTGGGTCTCTAGCATGAGACTAAAGAAACATCAGAGACGGTGCTTCTGGTTGCTATGGAAACAGGGATGCAACCGCACAGCCCTTTGCTTCCTCTGGTTGGCAAACCAGGATTGATGAAGTAAACAAGCCAAAGGCTTCCAGGCTTCCAGTGGCAAATAAAAGGGATCTGAAACTCTGCAGAATGGGTAAACTGAGGTGCCCATGAGCAGACATGGAGGCCTTCCTCGAAGCAGGCATACAGAAGATGGTTTAATGCTGATTGGGTTGTTAGTTAAACAATTGGCACAGCCTGTATTTTGAAATGGTGCTCCCTCAAGTGGTAAAAGAGGTCTGTTTGTCAGAGCTCATGTTTTTCCCTACCTTCCTGTCTGGCATTTAGCCATGCTTTGTCCTGTGATTGGTCACTGGACGGCAAATGCAAGTTTAATTTACAAGTCTGATTGCAGCTCCATGCATCTCTCAGGAAATGGTGTTTCTTGGGGGGGGGACATGCATATTCTAGAAAATATATATTCAGAATATATATTCAGGAGCAACAGGCATCTCTGAGAGTATTCAGAGCCTTTTATTCAGTTTTGTCTAGTATATTGTATCGAGTAGACATTGTCTAGAGGGGTGGGGTAAAAAAATCTAATAAATAAATAAATAAATATATGCAATTTAATACACAATTTCCCTAATACATTTAAGAAGTATTATTAGAGAAGCCCTAATAACATTTTTGGATTCACTGACGTTCCTCTTTCTGTGTGAACGATTCTCCAATAAGCGGATGTTGATACATCTTTTGGAGGAAAAACATGGCAAAGTTCGAAGATGCAAAGATAGTGAAGATAGGGATTGCATTTTAAATGTGCATTTTGATTCGAGGGAGTGTCCATGAGATATATTGGAATTAAAATTCAGCTGGATGAGGCACGTGTAAGTTTCGACCTCAGGGTTTTTTTGATTGGAAATAAGAGCAGACCTTCTTGCTGGTCGATCAATCTGTGATGAGATAAGAGAGTGTACAGTAGCGCCACAGGATCCGGGGGGGGGGAGGATAGTTTCCGAGTCCCCCAGAGGCCAAAAAATGCAGGAATATCGAACGCTATACACCGCATGGTCCCTGGCTCCCTCTCGTGGCCGGTTCTAGTAAATACACCATAGAAATACATATAAATACATACTTATGTGGGGTTTAATTTTTTTCAGCCAGCGGTTAAGGGAATCAGTGGATACTGTGGAATGGGGGGTTTCTAGTGTACAGAAAGCTTTGTGATGCTATTGAATTGAGATGAGCTCAGGTATACAGCTGCTCGGATTTCTTATCTGTAGCCCAGGCATGTGGTACTCGGAAGCATACTCCCAAGTAGATCCACCCTTTGCTTTGGCCTGCCCCACACTTTTTACTTGGCCATAGGCAGAGAGACCACCCATGTGTTTTCAGTCAGTTAGATAGACAGATAGATAGGCCACTGATGGGCAGAGAAGACGCCCGCGATCTTTCCTGACATGTCTTTTCCAGATCTACAGGTAGACCTGGAATGCCCTCCTGTTTTCTTCCTACTTTTTTTACCCAGCTACATGGAGCAAGTGTCATTCAAACAAGGAAGCTGGCTCTAGGGGTTTACCATAAATGTTTAGTGATTCTGGTTCCCCCCTCCCGCACGAAGTGGCAGCCGTCGGAGGGTATAAAACACCAAATGATGTTGGTCATCGGAGTGTTTGCGGGAAGGGTTCAAAGCTTAAAGTCTTGAATAAGCAGCCGTGTTCCCCGGGCAGCCTGTCACCTCTCCAGCTGAGGGGCAGTTGTGAGTGTAATGTGGGAAAATATGAGAGAAACCATCATTTCCAGTCTTCAACTAAAATCCTAAGGAAGCTTACCTGGAACGCAAGTGGCCAGGGTTGCTGTTCCGGACTCAGCTGGCTCAGATCCTGCAGGTGAGCTTTCCGAAGGGGGTTCTTCACCAAAGCAGAGCTAGGATCGCTGGTGGTGGGGACCTTCCGAAACGGCTCACGGTCCCCAATCTGGTGAGCGCTGAAGGCTCTCCGTCTTGAGTTGGCGGCAGCGTCCACCCCTGGGGAAAGTGACAGCCCATTATGCACAGTACAGTGGTGCCTCGCTTGACGAGGTTAATTCGTTCCAGCGAAATCGCTGTAGAGCAAAATCGTCGTCAAACGAAATAAGCAAATCCATTGAAACGCATTAAAAACCGGTTAATGCATTCCAATGGGCAAAATACCTAATTGACCAGCGAAAATCCTCCATAGGGCTGCTAGTCACGGAGGGAAAGCCTGCCTGAAGGGAAAGGTCTTTGAGCTGCTTGTAGAAGGACAGCAAAGATGGGGCCAGCCTGGCCTCCAGTGGGAAGGAGTTTCAAGGCTCCAAAAACAACCCCCCTTACTGTCTGTATAACATTTTAGGGAGCGAGAAGGGGACTCATGGGAACAAAAAAAAGGGACACAGGCGTTTGCTTCTGCCAATCCAGCTTGCCTAAATCTGCTTTCCGTCTACATCAGTCTCTTCCTCATCATCCTCATCATCCATAGCAGCAAACTGGGGTGGGGAAGAACTGACAGAATCCCAAGCTTTGCAAACTGGGCATGCCTCAGTTCCTGAATTAATTTTGCAATTTCTGCTGGTCAAAGTAGACCAGCAGGGGCATCTGATGTTATGGGGATCTGCGTTTTCTCCAATTAACCTGCTCTCCTTCCTGCAATGAGATGTCATCAGCAATGCAAATCTCAACGTTCAGTTCTTCCAGTGAGACCCACATTTACCTCCCAGTGGCCAATCATCTTACATGGGTGGGACAAAATACACTAGATGCATGATACAGGGATTTGGAGGCTATACTTGTGTTAATGCAGCCTAAAATAGCATTGGCCTTTTTTGCTGCCCCATCACACAGTTGGCTCATCTTCAGCTTTTTTAAAGCAGATGTCTAAAATCCCTCCAGACAGTGATAAAAGTTTCACATGGGCTGACTCCTCGTGAGACTCGCATTCAGGAGAAGGGGACCTCAGGGCAAACCGAATCAAAGGGAGGACAACCCACCAGAAACGCAAAGAGGCCCGAAGAAAGAGGAAAACCAACCCTGATCTACATCAGATTCACTTCCTAGGTCTCCAACGATGCCAAGATGTTCGGGGGTCTTCTCTGAAGGGAATCCGCTTTCTAAATCCTTGGAAGAACCCCAGTTGTCCGAGGGACCTCCTTCCTCTTGCGAGTGGAAGAAAACCGAACTGCCAGACTCTTGAGAACGCAGCACGCTGTAACGTCTCCGCTTGTCCTGGCAAGGAGAGAGGAGGAGTGGAAAGAAGCCAGTTTTGAAGAGACGGAATATGAATGGCTCTGTGTAGGCTCAGAGGCTGCCAGCCAGTCAAGGCCACTGAGTGGCTCTCCTACTGGGGCCCACGAGGAATCTCTGCCCTGCCCTGGGTCCAACCTTTTTGTGGTGCTCTCCAAGATGCTTAGCCTTCCCTTCATTTTTTAATTTATTTGGGGTTTTTTGGCCGAGAACGTTCAGCACCTGGGACAGAGCTGGTGAAATTCAGACTAAAACCCAGAGCGGACTCACTGTCTCCATTACATCAGAGCTTCCTCCTTGGGGGGGTAACAGAGATTCCAGGGAGTCTAAAATGGCACTCGCTACCACTCACCATCCTGGGGTTAGAAATATACAGGGACGTATCGCAGACAATACTGTAGCCGACCAAACGATCGCCTGGAAAAAGGCAGCTGGAACTGACAGGAGAGATCAAGGCTTCTGTGGTTTCCGGGAAGACCCAGTCCACCGAGACGTCGCTGATGACTGGAGCCATCGCTTTCTTCAGGGACTTTATCATCTGGGGAGGGCGGCAGGGAAAAACAGAGCGGTCAGTCCCCGGACGCTAGCCATTCCTTGCCTGTACCCTTTCTAAAACACACAGCGTCCCACGGCCATTCCCCCTCCCACCGTAACTTGCTATAAACAAGACTGTTGGCTGTAATTCCTTACTTTCGAGCCGTGCATTTACCCGACCGTGGTGGCCCTCGTCCATAATGGCAGGTTTGGATGACTGTAACACAGTTTCCTTGGGGCTGGCGTGAGTCGGTATCATCCTCCTTCTCTTAGAACAGCAAAATTGGAAGGGACCCTCTGGATCACCAGAATCAGTCCCTCCCCCCCACCCCACCCCGTCGAGGAGGCACCTTGCGGGAATCAAACTCGCAACCAAAACCACAACACTCCCTGGCAGTTCATCATAATAGTAATCTTAGAAAGGCAGAGATAGAAGGGACGCCCCTGTGGAGGCCCAGTGGGGGAATCAAACTCCCAATTTCTGGCTCCACAAGCAGGTAACCTGAACCACTGAGCTGTCCAGCCAGTCTGAAAGATCTCTTAGGATGTTGCTCCACTCCAGTGCCGACTGATAGCTCTTTGCTCCGCCCTGTGATCACCCTGAAATGGCCCTTCACTGCACATTCGTCCGAAGACCGTGCACGGGCTTGCGTTGCTGTTAATAGGTGACTAGCAATGAATATTATTTAATAATAGCCATATATTTAATAGCGTTAGGGTTGCTGTGAGTTTGATTGTGATTTGACAGCCCATAACGTCAATGGCAGCGAAATACATCAATAAAATCATACAGATCAGAGTCAGGAATGAAAGCAATATTGAAAGGGCGCATCAGGCCATGTTCGCTTCTTCAGCATCTCTGAGAGAAGCAGGCGTGGAAACATCGTGCGGGAGAATTTTAATAAGTTCTACTTTGTTGATTCCTCTAATAAAGGTTGTTCATCACTCGAATAGATGTGTTTGTAAATAATTAGGATCCGGAACAGATTTATTTGAAGTACCATTTGATGTTTTTCAGCTCGTTTGTCTAATAAACAGCAGTACATATGCTGTCTGCATTCTCTCTCTCTCTCTCTCTCTCTCTCTCTCACACACACACACTCTGTGTGTGTGTGTGTGTGTGTGTGTGTGTGTGTGGAGGGCGACCCTATGAATGAACGAGCCCCAACATCTTTGCTTCCCCATGGCCCCGCTCAGTTCTTGGAAACTCAAGCCTGTGGCTTCCTTTTGGGAGTCCGACCACCTCGCATTGGGGTCCTCCTCTTTTCCTGTTGCCTTCCACCCTTCCTAGCCTTATTGTCTCTCTCCGAGAATCCCGCCTTTTCATGGGGTGCCGAAAGTAGGACAGCCTCGGCTTTAACATTTTAGACCCACGGCTTCAGTTTAAATAGAAATCCCAAATGTCTCCTTTTGCAAGAGGGGCATTTTGATAAATAGTCCACGAAGAGGAGAATCTCAAACGCCGCGCTGATCAATAGCTTTACATCTCTTCTCTTCCCCAGAAAGAAGCCTTAAAGGTCCCTTCGCTTTAAGGCTGGAGACGGATCTGAGGAACAGCTGGATTTTAGACGGTCAAAAATAAAGGGTTAAGTCCTGCGGCCTTTTTCCGTCCCAGGTGTTCTCCTTAGTAAAACATGCATCCCACGGATTGACACGGAGGCCAAATCGAATTAACAAATTTAAGAGTAGGCTTTGAGAAATTCACTTTCTTGTTTGGAGCCACGCTGCCTGTATCCACCCAACCAAGGTATCATTACAGATGGGGAATTCTGGGGCTTGTAGTCCAGCAAACCAACTTTTCTTCAATCCCCAGAATCCTCTCTTTCGGACTGAATAGGCTCCTTCCGACCTCATTATTCCATGAGTTTATGACTAGAACCTATAGAAATACCCCCTCTTCCTGAAGGACGCCACAGAGCTGTTCGGCTTTCACAGAAAATTAAATGGTCCCAAAGGGCCTTTGGGCTACATGGCTGGTTTATAAAACTGTAATGTTTTGGACCTGCTCTTAAATCTGATTTATTTTTTTAAAATAATGTTTTCTCTTTGTCTTTAGGAGTTCTAATCTTGTGCAAATCTCTCTGGGATCTCTGGTAGGTGGCCAGGGAATGAACAGTCTGTGATCCAAATTTGGTACATAAGGACCCCTGCGTCCATCGGGGGGTCAGTTCCAAGCCCCCCACCCCGATGCTAAAAAACATAGATGATAGCAAATGCTATTATAATAATAAATACAATACTATACATTGCACGAACTCTGTTTCCCTCTAGTGGCCGGTTCTAGGAATGACATTGTAGAAATATTTTCTCTAGCCAATGCTATTCATGGAACAGTCTTCGCTCCCGCTAGTAGCCAGTTCAGGTAACTTCACTGTTAGAAATACCATATTTTCTGTGTATAAAATGACACTTTTTCCTAAAATCATTAGAGTTAAAATTGAGGGTTGTAAGGAGGGGGGAGGGATCAAAGCACTTTGATCCTTGCTTTCCCCCTCCATGTTTTGCAAAGAAAGTGGGTGGGGAAAGCAATTCCTGCTTTCCCCCTCCACTTTCATTACAAAAAGCTGCTTTCCCCCTCCACATTTCTGCAATGAAAGTGTAGGGGGAAAGCAGGAATCAAAGTGCTTTGATCCCTGCCTTCCTCCTCCACTTTCATGCAATGAAAGAAATTTTGGGTTAGAAAAGTGGGGGGGGGGTCTTATACATGGGGGCATCTTATACACGGAAAATACAGTACCTATTTCTTGAAATGTTCCTTTTAATATTTTTAATTTTTTCTGACTGTGGAGAAGTGAATCAGTGGATACTGATCCCACGGATACGGGGGTCCTCCTGTACTACATGACATCTACTTGCCTATATTTCAGTGGCAACTTGTCACTCGTGAAGACGTTGGGTGTTTGCATTCGGTGTCACATCTCAAGTCCCATGATTTAAATGGAGACATGATGAACAGCAATTTGCCACTGAAATTCATCCCTGGAGACATGAACCAGACAGCTCTGCCCAATTGCTCTCAATAAATAAACAGAATAGTCTGAGCTTGGTCTCTCACCCCTGGCTGATCTCATTTCAGTTCCACCCGGGTTCCACTACCCCAAAATACTTCAATTTCCATTTGCCCCATCCTTTAAGTCACCCTTCCGCCATCCCCTCCATTCACAAAGGCAGAAGCTGGGCACTTAACGATGGTTCGACACAGGAAAGGTTCACGGAATGCTCAGCACAGTGAACTCTGCAACGGAACTGGACTGTGTGCCATTCTGGGGTATTAACTCCGGACTAATTACTTCCAAGCCTGACCTAACATGTTCAGCAAGTTTGGTCGGCAACAATAGTTTCTTCTTACAAAGTTTGCTCAGGCTGACTTAGAGGGAAGTTGTTGGATTTTTTTCTTCCAGTTCAAAGAGATCCCCGCGTCTCTGCTGAGCGTCTTTCCCCTCTCTTTCCTCGGCTGGTGGCGACGTGGTTTCTTTGCTGTTGATCTGCTCGACGGGTCGCAAAGCATGCAGGTAAGCAAAGAAAGCTGCACAGACAGGTCTGTAATTTCGAGCGACTGTAGGCAAAGACAGGCTTTGATCCTTTCTCCTACAAATGTCTCAGGAAGAGTTATGGGGACTTTTGAGGGACAGTTTTTATCAGAAATGCAAAACTCTGCAACAGGTTAAATCGGCCATACCTTGGGTTGCAGTCTCTCCCGTTCAGACAGGAATTCTGTGCTTCCTTTAGACACTTTAGCCAGGCCATTCAACAGCCTCCGGCACGCATTCTGCCCAATGCCGAAGGTGTAGCACCTGCAACAGGAGAGAACTCCAGGGTGAGGTTTCAGCGGTGCATTGAGTGGCATATCTGGTGGAATGCATTGAACCGCCATAAGAAAACGCCCTCCTTTGATGTGGACATTTTGGTTAATTCTCCCAATGTGAACTGGAACAACATTCTCCCCAAGTTGTGTCAACCAGATTTAAAGGGTATTACAGTACGACCCCCTTATCCACGGGATCAGTATCCACTGATTCACTTATCCATGGTCTGAAAATATTAAAAGAAAAAACCCCCAAATATATATAGAGAGAGATTAAGTTCCCAGAACTGGCCACTAGAGGGAACCAGAGACCATGCTATGGATAGTGTTTCCTATTATAACTGTGTTTGCTACAATCAACGTTTTTCAGCATCCACAAAGCGGGGCTTGTAACCAATCTCCTGCAGTTATGGCTGTCCTACTGTGCTATTTTCATCACGAAGAGGTCCCTGCTGTGACCTGTCTGCCGATCATGATTAAAAGTCAAGTAGCCTCTTATTAAAAAGAAGCTGGTGGCCACAATTCAATGTTGAAATGTCATCCATTGTACAGGAATTCAAAGCTTGAATTGAACTTAAGTATTGAACTTTAAGTACACAAAACTCACCGGTTTGATGACCCAATTTGTGAGCTTGGGTTTTTCCCATATATGCACAATTAGCATGGAATGGGGTGTGGGTGGGAATAGACTGATTTAATAGTGGCATTTCACCCCTGCAGATTGTTTATTTGTTCATCTAAAATATTTTTACCCCACCTTTCTCCTTAAAAGAACTCAAGATGGCCAGTGTTATGCCAGCGTTATGTCACGTCTTTATGCTGGAGCAACCGACCTTAAATTCTTCCCCCCCAGCCCCCGCCCAATGAATAAATCTGTGAATGTTAGTAAACCTTTGTAAAGAAAGTACTGAACATCTCTTTGACCCCAAAGAATGGGCCAGGCGCCAGCTATGCCAGGAGATTACAGTGGGAATGCTCTGCATTTTTACCATAAAATTCATATTTCTAGAAGCAGTTGGTTAAGACTTAGGGGGAGGACACACCGTAAGCCTATCAATGAGATGAGGTCACAATGACAGGCTGGGAAATGCTCAAAAAGTAAAGGAAACCAGTGGAGCAGGCTGGATACGTTAACAGATAACCCAAATATGTTTTCCCTTCACTCTCTCTTTCTCAGATCTACATGAAGATTGGAAAGCTTGCTTGCTTCCTTGCTTCCTTCCCCCTTTCTCTCTTTTCCTTCCTTCCTTCCTTCCTTCCTTCCTTCCTTCCTTCCTTCCTTAATTCCTTAAT